GGGAAAAAATGAAAAAGGTGACCTAAGGGTAATCATGTACTTTTGCCTACTAAAATAGCTAGATTTCATCTTTTTTATAAAGATGGCTATATTTCATTTTTACTTTCACTTAAGTGCTATAAGGCACCATTACCACTAATATATATTCTATTGGCTGTCGGAAAAAGTAGATAAAGAACTCTGAATCTATTGGAAAGGCCTTGGCTTTAAGAATGCCGCACCTTAGCTTGTTATTTTGTTTAGAACAATTCCAAGTTGTCGCACATTGATTCTATAGGAAGAATGAGTCTAGTTTATATGTCTAGTGGGTTACTCGTTCCATCACCAATTGGTTTTGTCATGGAACCTCACTATGGTCAGGGCGGATCAAAAAAAAAAAAAATATTTGGGAGGGACTAGACTGTTATTCAATCATCAACGATTTCAAGAATGTAGCTTAGTTTGAGTTTTAAAGTCTGAGGTCGAACTTACTTAAACGAGACGAGTTTGAACAATTGATCAAGTTTATAGTTGTGTTCGCAAACAGTTTGATTATGATTTATGAATTTAAGTTTTGGAATTATTAAAACAGTTCAAGTGGATGAGTCGAGTTTTACTCACAATTATTTTATTAAATAAACGAGACAAACACAATTTTGAATATAGGCTACTTGAATGATCTCAATTTGAATGACAATTCGAGGGGAGTATATAATATTTAATAGCATAAAAGTATAGATATAAGAAGTACTAAAGTTTACTGAGAAAATATAAAGTAAATAATAAAGTTGCAATATAAAATTGCACATCATGATTTAAGTTTGGTAGTATAAAAATTTGTTCTACATTCTTTCACCTCATAAAATTCACTAAAAAACAATTTGGTATTAAAATCTATTGCAATTTCTCATTCAAGCTCATGAAATTGCAAATCACGCATGCTCTCCTATTTCAAATAGCTAATTCTCAAGTATTTACATTATCACTATCAATTTAATAACCTTAAATTACTAAAAATAAATAAAAACAACAAATATTATATTATGAAAATAGTTTCTAAAACAAATATGATGTAGCTTTAAAATAATAAATAGA